AAGAACATCAAACACCCACATATAGAAAGAGAAAAATGTTCTGGTAACTTTGTGATCTACAACTCTTGTGAATTGGTGTTCTGCTCTGGCAGAATGGCTGGAAAACGTCACATACTCATGTTATAAGCTTAGTATATGCAAAATTTACTCTCAGCATAGCAATTTAAGAATGACACACTTTCCTGGGAAGATATATGTTAATTTTTTGAGGCTTCCACTGCAGAAATAGAAATCAAACTCTGCTAGGGAATGGATGCACACAGATCATAGTTTCATATTAAAGAAGCTGTTCCTTATGAGTAAACATTTCAGTCTTAATATAATGGAGGAAACAATGACTAATGGGATCAGTGTTATGGTGGTTTAGAAGTTTTATGTCACGATTATGCTGCACTGTGAGAAAGCTGTATGCAAGAAAAGCCAGGAAATGCTTTCATGAGCTCTTCCATCCCTGACGTGTAAAGGAAATACAGAAAGGGAAATAATAACCTAGTTATAAGGGAAGAGAGCTATCTTTTAGCAGTTATTTTTCTCTTCTGCCTAATCACTTCTCTCTTTCAAATCCTGCCTAGGATGCTTACTATTCAGCATAGCACATACTTGTAAGGACAGACAAAAACAATCAAATAACATCAGTTAGTCTTCCTTTAGCTATGCCTTCTGTAAATCATGATATAATTTTGTATTAGAAAAGAAGTGGAAAACATTATTTAAGATGGATAAATATCAACATGGCATCTGTGGAATTAAAGGAAACCCAAGAGTAATTTTTAGAGTGAAATATGTTTGCCTGTGTGTGTGTGTAAGGATTTATTAAGAGCCATATTCTAGATCAGGCTTGCAGCCTGTTTGTTTGCGGCCCACAGTGCGGTTTGGATTTACAGGGGGCTCAACATGCTGCCCACAAATGGGATCCTTTGAACATGGCCTCCACTGGGAACACGCTCCACAATGGCGAGGTGTATCCCTGGCGGGGTGAGCATTGAAAGACACAAGCAGGTGGGCTGGCTGGAACAGATGGATACAGGGCGTCGGTGTTTTTAGCCCCCAGGAAGGAGGTGCTGAGAGTGCTGAGGCATTGTGGAAAGTGTTTTGTATTCATGCCTATCCGGGTGAAAGAAGCTATTTGCATATATATTTGCATGTTTATGCAACCACACTTAAATTGTGGCCCTCGGCATGTGCTGTATCATTGTGGCCCCCAGGGCTTCCAAAGTTGAGTAGCCCTGTCCTAGATCTTGACTTTGTGAAAGTCAGAGTTTTGTGCAGGGGAACTTCATGTGTGACCAGAGGTGGGAAAAGGTACATACTGCCTTTCCCTAAGGCCCTACCCCCAGGTCACTGAATTCCCCCTTCCTGCATCACTTGCACTCATCCACCCTTACTCACTTTCACTTGATTGGGGCAAGGGATGAGGTGCAGGAGAGAGTGAAGGCTCTAACTTGGGGTATGGATTCTAGGGTAGGGCCAGAGATGAGGGTTTTGAATGCAGGAGAGAGCTCCAAGTTTGGGTGGGATTGAAGTCTGAGAGGGCTTCATGGCAGGGGTAGCAGCATGGGAGTCCAGTATAATAGGTGGGAGAAGGCACAGCCTTCCCAAACTGCCAGCCTGGCCCTGTCCACACTCTATCCCCAGAACACCTGCTGTAGGTATTCTAGGGGTTGAGTGTTGCTGCCCCCAATACCCACCCCTCCAGTGCTTCGGGCCAGGGAGGCTGGAGCTATGCATCTTCCTCCCTCCCTGTGCTCTAGAGCTGGGGTTATGCACCGCCCTTCCTCCCCTATGCTCCAGGGCTGGGGAGGCTGGGGCCGTGTATCCTCCTCCGTCCCCAGACTCTGGGGTCAGGGAGGCTGGGTATGTGTGATGCCTGCAACTCCCCTTGGCTGTGATTCCCGGCCAATGGGAGTGAAGACCAATTGCTAGGGGGCATGGGTAGCATGTGGAGCCCCATGCCCTTCCTGTCTAGAGGCCAGATTTGCGGGATGCTTCTGAGACACAGTGAATAGCCAGGACAGCATTAGTCACTCAACACTGAAAACTGGACACCTTGGTCACCCTACCCATAGCTTATTTCCCACCTCTTCCCTCCAGTGCTCATATGTAGCCAGCAGGGCCATGTATGGGCTGAAATGAGTATAGCTGTTGAGGCGGATGCTGCTGCGGGTTGAAACTAGCTGCTATGGTCCAAAAACCATCTGAATTCTCTCTTAAGTAAATGAGGGAAAGCTTAAAATATACAGCCGGGGTGTGCATGGCACCATTATTATCATGTACGTGTACTGCAATAGTGGCTAGAGGCCCCACCTTGGGAAGGCTGCCTTTTACCACCCGCAACAGATTGAAAGGTCCACAGCAGTGGTCCCCAACCTTTTGGGGCTGCCAGGTGCACAGGGGCAGGGCTGCTCACGCGCCAGGCACCCAGGGGAGGGGCCACACATGCACCCGGGGGCGGGGCTGTGCACATGTCTGGGGGGGGACCACCCATACGCCACGCGCCCGATGCTGGCGCCACCCATGCGCCGCACTCCCGGAGCTGGCGCCGCTCCTGTGCCGCATGCCCAGGGGCGGGGGCTGCCCATACGCCACACGCCTGGGGGCAGGCTGCTCCTGTGCTGCGTTCCCAGGGGTGGGGCTGCTGATACGCCGTGTGCAGGGGCTGGAATAGCCCATGCACCGCACTCCCAGGGGCGGGGCCGCCACCGCCCATGTGCTACATGCCCAGGGCCAGCACCGCTCCTGTGCCTGTGTGCCCGGGGCCAGTGCCACCACTGTGCCGCGTACCCAGGGGCCAGCACTGCCCATATGCCGCGTGCCCAGGGGCCGGCACAGCCCTTGTGCCACGTGCCCAGGGCCAGGGTTGCCCAAATGCCGCGCAGCTGGGACTGGCGCTGCCCATATGCTGTGCGCCCGGGGCCAGCACAGGCCCTTACGCGGCGCACCCTGGGGCAGGGCCACCCAAACACGCACCCGGGGCCGACGCTGCCTATACGCCGCGCGCACAGCACCCCATACTCTACCAAAACGTTAGCTGCTAAATGGGGTGCCCTACATGCCCCACCCTCTGTGTGCCCCTCCCTGCATCTCTTTTCCCGCAGGCACCAGTAGCCCCTGGTGGTGCGCATCCTCGAAGCTAGGGCGATCCAGTGGGTTACACATGCGCCCGCAATGCCGTGTGCAATGCTCAACTCCTCTCGCTAGGTGGCGATGACGAGCCTCCTTCTCCTGCGAGGTACCGTTCTTTCTTGCACGGGGCCCCCCGGTGCGCATGCGCCCTAGCAGGCGGCAGCGCATGCGCCCTGTGCTAGAGGATGAAGCGGCGATGGTGGTCTCGCTCTCTCCCCGCCCCTCGATTCCCGGTCGCCGAGGTACCCGGATGTAGCGGTTGAGCCGCCGCCAGGCTCGCTCCTGCGCCCGGGACGTGTAGACGGCGCCAGCGGGCGGCTCGAGCCGGGAGCGCCCAGCGCGGGGGAGGGGAAACCCGCCCGCCGCGCAGCAGAGCGGAGAGGCCCCGCTGTCCTCCCCCAGTGCAGCCCCTGCGGAGACGCCCCCCGTGGCCGGGCCCCTGCGTCCTTCCAGCGGGCCCGTGGGCCAGGGGCGGCCCCGGCATGAGCAGCGCCCGGAACAACCGCGTGATGGTGGAGGGGGTCGGGGCCCGGGTGGTGCGGGGCCCGGACTGGAAGTGGGGGAAGCAGGACGGCGGCGAGGGCCACGTGGGCACCGTGCGCAGCTTCGAGAGCCCCGAGGAGGTGGTGGTGGTTTGGGACAACGGCACCGCGGCCAATTACCGCTGCTCCGGGGCCTACGACCTGCGCATCCTGGACAGCGCGCCCACCGGTAAGGGAGGCACGTCCCTCCTGGCCGCCCTCTTTGCTAGGGGGCAAGCCGGGCTGGAGTCCTCGGGGACAGCGGGGGTGTTGCGGGGACTGGTCCGGTGGCTTCTTTTCCCTTCCCCTCTTTAGGATACGAAATCCTCCCATTGCCGCTGATGGGATGTCCCCCCCCAACCGCGGGGCGTTGTAGACGGGATATAGCTGTAGGGGAAGTAGCCTGACTGTCTCTATTGTGGACTTTTAAATCTTGATTAGATAGCGCATAGGGAGCAGTCCTGTTGGAATGGGTTTGGCCTGGAGAAAGAGGGTGGTGACCCAAGATTTCTTTATTCTTTCTGTTCTAAAAGCATCTCTCACAATGGTTTGGTTACTTTGTATGGAGGGCAGCAAGATGTCTGGCAGCAGCTCTTTGTTAGAGCTAAACACATCTCCTGATTTTCAAGAAGTATCTTGTCCTTTATTTTTAATGTCGAAACAGCCATAGACTGTTAACACTGAAGAAAATATTTTTTTAAATAAGTATTTTAACTGTTTATGCTTTGATTCAGCTTGGACAATGAGGGTAGAGCTTTTGGTTTGACTCTCATGCTCTCCTGCATCAGCACTATGCGGCAATTTTGGTGTTGTAAATACTGCACAGGGAATATTCAGACAACAAAAAAACCCATTTTCATTGAAACTTTCAGAAAAAGGAAAATCCCAGTGGTCTTAGTTTTTTTTTTAATTAAAATGTGTATATAACTGCCAGGATTGGTTTTGAGGAAGGATAACTGGACAGATTTATTGGAATTCCTTGTATTTCTCTTTATTTCATGTATTTATATTTGCATTCTGTCCAGGGTCCAAATTATTTATACAAAGAAGAATAATGTAGAACACTTATGTTTGTTAATTTTTAACAGACTTCCTAAAGTACTGAAACCTATAACTATAGTTAATACAAACGTGCAATAGAGAGAAAACTTTGGTCATACTGAACACTTCAAATGGATATTCAGGTTACTAAATGAATTACTTGTTCTTGTACATATCCTTTTGGTGCGGTAGGTAGATTGGACTGGCTGTTCAGGAGGGATATTGTTTGGAAACTTAAGCTGAAAATTTTTTATGAATTGTTACAGAAACAATTAGGAAAGTGAGTGAGTTGTGTATTTCAGTCATGGATCCTTATTTTGTAAATGTTTATGCTTGCACTTAACTTGTGAATAGTCCTACTGAAAAAAGTGCCCTTGCAAGTTCTTAAAACTAAGCATCTGCGTATGTATGCATGCAGGATTCACATCTCAAATGCAACTGTTTCCAAGCCAATGTATAGACTTCAAAGGAATGTTGTCAAACCTGAAACTATCTCATACATCTGAAAACAGTGAGGTGTCCTGTGGCACTTTAAAGACTAACAATTTTATTTAGTCATAAGCTTTCATGGGCTGCAAGTGACTGCTGAGGCTTTCATAATTTTTTGTTATTTTTCTGATTTTTGTGCGTTTGATAGAACGTGTGGATAGTCTTAATTTCTGCCTCAGGTATTAGCCCGAGGACAGCATTCTCATGCTCTTGTTTTGGGGAAAGTTCATATTCTTGCTTTTTATAGGCTCCACATGAAGGTGTTTGCCATAAAAGATTAATAGAGCTATTGTTTACTTTTTGGGCTAATGAGTGTCTCCTTTTATTAGAACACCTGCTTGAAGTCAAGGAATAGTTGGAGTTGTGTATGAATCTTAAATCTCTTCTTCAAAATTTCCTCAGGTGTGGAAGCAACAGGAATTTGGAAAGAAGGGGAGGTAGTATAGACTACAACATTAGAATCTAAAGGTCCAGAGTCCTAATACATTTTATCACTAACCTGCTGTTACTAACCTGGGTAAATCATATCACCTCTAAGCTTGCTTCGTGTCTTACTCTGTCACTATGTGATTGTTGTCTAGCATAAAGGGATCCTGACCTCAGTTGTGATCTCTAAGTATTTCTGTAATTCATACCCCTCACAATTTCCTGTTATTGTTTGTTAGAATTTGGGAATCAACACCTCAATGCTGTTAGTGGCAGGTTCCTCCCAGCACATCTCCCTTGCACTTTCCTCCTCCCCCCCACTTGTGCCATGCTGCTGCTTCTATCAGAGGCAGCAGTGTGGGGGGTCAGGGGAGATTGTTCCCATAGCAGCCCTTGTCTGTGTGGAGGGTCCCAACTCCCCACTAGGACTCCTCGCAGATAGGGGCTGCTGCCAGCTGATCAAACAGCCTTACAGCTTGACCCCCAACTGCTACTGTGTTTTAAATTGCAGAGCTATAGCGGTGTTTGGTCCCGGTAGGAGATGGGACTGAGCCAGCTGCCTTCTCCTATCGACTAATCGAGTAGTGAAAGATTCGACTACTCGATTAGTAAAATAACTTATTTAAACATCCCTAGTTGGCACCCGATGAATTGTGCTAACTTGATCTTTAATGTGTATCCTCTGACAGGTCAGCCCACTGAAGTTAAGCACACTGCCAAACTCAAGTTAAGGATTTTTGTGTATAGACATGAATCAAGTTAATTCTGCATTAAAGCAATCCCAAAATGCATTTTGTATGTTTCTGGAGATATAGTTCTGATGTTTTATCATAATATATAATTAAAATTAATCCATTTTATACTCCAGCATTACTACCAGAATAATATGCCACTGAAATAAGTGAACTAAAGTGCCTAAATAGATAATAAAAATCATGGAATGATATCTTTATTCATCTTAAAATATTGAAATTAATCTTCATTAATGATAGAGACCTTGAAATGAAATTGCTTGTCTTATGAGTCTTCAGAATATACTGTTAAAATATTGATTGAAAATCAATTGAATTTTAATTTTATAAATAGCTACAAGTGTTCTGTCTCAATTTTACGATCATGCCTTGTTTTAAATACAGGCAGTCCCCGACTTACGCGGATCCGACTTATGTCGGCTCCGCACTTACGAACGGGGCTCTCGCCCCCGGAGGTCGAGGTAGCGGATTGCTACCTGTGAGCTCCGGGGCGAGAAAGCCCCGTTCGTAAGCTGCTCCGGTGCCCCTGGTCTGCTGGAGACCGTCTCCAGCAGACCAGGGGCAC